GATTGCACCTTGATTAATGTGCAGTGTCTCTGATTCTAATTTGTTCAGCAAGGTTGAAGAGAACACTCATAAGGTAAACGTGGGAAGGGTGACGGTTCACTGAGACTTTGTTTTTCGAAGTTTCCGATATTGGCGTCAGTTGTTACCCGATCAATGTGTTCATTGTTGACTGGCATTTGTCAGTGACAGGCCTCTGCTTTGTGTCGTAATATCATTTTTTATAATTAACAATCCGTTTCCGCTTCATTTATAATTCACCAAAATCCACTTTCGCTCAATTCCTTACTTTTGTATTCTGACCACATGGCTCAGTAAACAGCAGCTGAAGCACAGCCAAGTGAGTTTGTACGCCGCATCAGCAATTTACTATATGGCCGGTCTGTTAATCGAGTCTGGACCAGACAATCCAGTGATCAACAGCATAACATCGATCTGCGCAATTGATCGATACATTTTATAGTGGATTTAGTCGGACATTGCATTCATCTGCGAAGACCTATTTCGGATCTTGTCGACCCTTTTTGATGTATCAAAAGCTGTGGATTTAGGGATTGCATTTCTGCAATTTCTTGTTTTAATCAAAAGTGGCAATGAAATCTTATCGCTGTTTAACTAAAGTTAATTGAGAATGTAATGAATGTACTCCAATGTGAAAGATACCACGGTACCCTACCTATGAATGAAATCGAGTCGCCTTACAGATACATCCAATCGTGTAATGTTAAATCTTTGGACACTTGTCTGACATTTTCCGGAGGCACACAGCCAGGCACTGCTGTGAATATCCGACTTAATGACGTTGTCTGTATTTAGGGTAAACAGGCAGTTAACGACCATTCGTCTCAAGTAGATCAATAACAGTAATGTCATATCCGTTCCCATAAGAAACATACTTCCGGGTTCAAACAAGCGGAGATGTCTCCGAGATAAGTGTACTAAAATAGTCATTAGTTCTCTATTAACGACGTGATGTAAAATAAGGCAATTAGCGTGATAATTCATGGTCATCCAAAACTAGCCACGCTCCAATTTGAGACTATGTCGGACTATGTAGGGAACATATTTTGGTAACTGTTTTACTGGTTCACTTAGAGAAATTGCTTCCCCATTGATGAAGAGGACACTCCAGTTCAGTTGAATAAGATATTAATACCTCATCCTGACTTTAATAATGAGAGCATATCTTTGGTATCAGAAGGTTACCGAAAACGTATAGATTATTGAATTTCTAGCTGAAGAAAAATTCACGAATACACTTCAGATAATAACATCATGTATCGCTATAGCTTGTGACACACTTTCACATCCAGAAAGATCACGATACGCTATTCTCAGTGTAAAGTGTCGACCCGGGCTTCATCTGGTTATGAAACAAAATTTCAAGAACTAATCTCAAAGTGGATTCGGAAATAATCGGCTCCAGTCTTCTGCATTTTTGCTTCTGTCGAAAGTATATATGTACGATGGATTAAGTTACTACCCTCGGCTCATGATAGATAGATTCATTTGTTTGTTGTCTAACGCCGCAATATTCCAGCTTTATGACGATGGCCTGTTTATAGTCGAGCCTGCAATGGACAATCCAGTGATTGACATCATGAGTATCGATCTTGTATCGATACGATGACATGTGTCAACCAAGTCCATGAGACTGACCACCTGATCCCGTTAGACGCATCTTACAACAATCATTGGTTGCTGAAGATCAATTCTAACCCGTTCCTTCATGGGTCTCGAATTGAAAGTGACGCACCGTAGACGACAGTGCTGTAGGCATCAATTCTCTCCGTGAGCTTATTTTCTATGATGTCAGAATTTGCCTTTAAAACCATATACATAACTACATCATAACCATTTGTAATAGACACAGTACGAATTTGCATTTAAGCTGACAACTTGTGGGAGACGATTCCTTTAAAAATTAAAGTATATGATAGCATCGCATATCGTGTGGACAAGGACGTGTCTTTAGTTTATTCCCCTGAATGCCTCCAAGAAAACTTCTGGATATTTAATAATGATTCTAATAATTCATTCTAATAATTCATTTAGTAATAATTCTACATACAGAATCGAAGCAATTACCAGGAATGTTGTTACTCGTAGACTTTGAAAAGGCATTCGACTCAGTATCTTGGTCCTTTATTTTTAAAACATTGAAATATTTGGGTTTTGGTGATGGTATTATTAAATGGGTTTCTTTAATGAGTCTCTATGAAGATACTAAATCAAGTTTAGTCATAAATGGTAAAATGTCTCCCTGGATACCTATTCTTCGTCACCATATATCTTCCTACTGTGTGCTGAAATACTATCAGCTCTTATTAGAAAAAAATGAAAATATCAAGGGTGTAGTGGTAAATAACATAGAACACTTGATCGCCCAATATGCAGATGACACAGAATTTATCCTGGATGGCTCAAGGAAATCATTCGAAGGAGTCATTGAGTCATACTAGATCTGTATGCACAAATCTCTGGACTTAATATTAACTATGATAAATCAGAAGTGATTTGGATAGGAAGTTGTAGAAATAGTAATGCTAAATTCAGACCAGATCTAAACCTACGTTGGAACCAAGAAAACTTTAAGATCTTGGGGATAATTTTCTCAACTGATATTAACAAGATGATTAAGCTAAATTATGAAAGTAAGCTATATGAAATTGAAGAAATTATTTAACGATGGATGAAGAGAACTACAACCCCTCTAGGTAAAATTGCTATTATCAAGTCACTGCTCATTTCCAAATTAAATTTCCTTTTCCTTACTCTGCCCAATCCACATGGTGTTTTTCTTAAAAAGTTAAATAGTATGCTATTTGGTTTTCTCTGGGATAATAACCCTGACAAAATTAAACGAACAATAGTTTGTAGACCAATTGTTGAGGGTGGGCTTGGCATGATCGACATATATGCCTATGTCGATGCCCTGAAAGTAACATGGATTAGAAAGCTACTACAACAAAACTATGCTAGAAAGTGGAAACACCTACTGATAGAAACACTTCCACAATATTTAAACCTTACAATGTTTGGTAGCGACTTTCCACACACGCATTCAAAATCTATACAGAATATTTTCTGGAAAGATACTCTGAACGCTTTTGCCAATTATAGCTATAAAAATAAACCAAATACCTTTAAAGATTTTCTTAGGGAACCCCTTTTGTATAACAGAAACATAATTATAGATGGCAAATCTTTCTACAGAAAAACATTTCAAGAACATGACATTGTTAATATTCATTGTTTACTGAATGATGATGGTAACTTTTTGACGCGTGTACAGTTTGTCATAAAGTTTACAATATAAATTTTACTGAATTTCATGGTATTGTAAAAGCAGTTAGTAAGTACCTTAAAGCTACAGGGATTAAGAAAACCTCAAATGTGATGTTAGATAACCTTATAAACATAAATATGAATAATCTTTTTCATGTAAAAAAATATCAAAGAGCTATTATTTTAAAATCACTGAAGGTGAAAAAATTGAAGATCATAGAAAAATGGGAAGATGAAACTTTGATTAATATTAATTGGAGCGATATCTTTATAAAACCCTTTAAGACAAGTCCTGATCCCAAATTAAGATGCAATATAGCTTGCTTCATAGAATGAATATTGTTGATAATAATCTTTGCACATTCTGTGTGAGTGAGCCTGAATCTATACTTCACCTTTTCTGGAACTAAAGTAGTAAGGTAAACATTTTTGGCAAAAGCTTTCTCAGTGGATTGAACAAAACTGCTCACACACAGGTATTATTAATTTCCAGGTTGATCTGATCCTTTTTGGTTGTTCATCCACTTTCCAAACTGATGATATCTTTCATCTTATTTTGCTACTTGCCAAGTATCATATATATAAATGGAAGCTGCAAAAGAAATCACCAACCGTCTCCCACTTCAAGAAAGAATTAAGATACTATTCTTTGAAAGAAAAAGCTAGACATTGTTAAAAAGCTATGCTTGATGACTTTGAAAGGAAACTTAACTAATGAAGAAATATGATCTATTTAGTAACTGGGTATGTATGCTTTGGTGTGAATGTGTGAATGAATGAAGTATTATTATTAAGTTAGTTACTCTCTTTTATTTATTTATTCATTACATATGTGTGTGTTTTTTAGTTCTTTTTATTTATTTATTTATTTTTTTTTTTTTTTTTTTATTTATTTATTTATTTATTTATTTATTTATTTATTTATTTATTTATTTATTTATTTATTTATTTATTTATTTATTTATTTATTATTTCATTCATTCATTCATTCATTCATTTATTATATTTATCTATTTTTTTATTTTTTTTACATATTTTTGTTTTCATATAACTTATTTATTAACTAAAATACAACAACATGTTACCATGGTTACCTGGTCATGGTCAATCACTTTGTCAACTGTTGGAAATGAAGGCACAAATTAAGACTGTCCAGTGTAATGCTAATCCATAGTGTTGTATTTGCAGATTGAACCACTTATTTGAGCATTAGTTTCTTTTTAAAGTCGTGTTTAATACAAATGTAAGGAACCTCAGTTTCTGTGGGTTTTAATGCGATTGTTATAAGGGTCTTAGGTTACACAATGCTGATTTGCAGTAAACAGTATGTAATTGATGAAGTGAATACAGGTTGTCATGTACTGAATTTTATACTTTAAGCACCATGTTATTTCACATAGGTAGTTAAATCGTGTCCATTGAATGCCAGATGAGCGTGCCATGTGTTAATAATGATGTGTTGCCTGGTAGATGTTTGCGTTGCAGGATGTTCTTGCTATAAGACTATATACCACATTGTGTACAAAGGGCAGAGGCTCCTATCACATTCAACAGGACACAGGAAGATTGCCTAAACAAGGCATCTTCAGTAATGGTGACATTTTGCAAATATGATAGCTGGTAAATATTACCAGTTTTACAGGACATTTGACTATCCTTGAAGGACCAATACCAATGCCATCTTTGCACGGTGTGCGTTTATTGAGGTGACCATGGGTATCTCAGTTCCACCACAGCTTGTGTACCAAGATATCTCATACTGTTGTACAGTTTTTAAGTTCATGTACTCAACAGTAAATAAAGAACACAACAATTTAATAATGAAACCCTGATTGATATTTATTTGTCAGCTATGTCTACCACTGTCATTTGAAGTACAAATAAGCAATTGAGAAATATAAACAAATATCTGTATAGTTTGGTTCCAATGCTACGAATCTTCTGAAATCCTATGCACAGAGTTTCAGTAGTTAGTGGACCTATGTTCACCAGCTGACGATCGGTAACAAATTCAGTAAACATTGAAGTTACAACCACAAATGTTGTTGTCGCTTACTATTTTACAAACTTTCCAAACAGTAATTTAAAAAATATTCAGAATATTCCTTTGCTTCTCGGAAAAATACCTTTCAGGCTGTAATTTACCGAACTGTCGCATCAAGACTTCAGTAATGATATTAGTGTAACTCAAGTGCAGGTAAACAGCATAACGCACACTTGACACATACGACAGTCTGGCCATGATGGAGCGGCAGGAGTCTTGTTATCAATGCATTTGCATTTTGCAAAGTCCTCATGTTCGTTTCTCTCCTAATTATATCGTCCAACAGTATTGCATTGTTCCTTCTGGTGTCAGCAACTCATCAGTCTGTTGAGTCGTACATTACAAGTTATTCATGTCCGTAACAATGTGGTGACAGTTTCCAATGGTTTCCCGTTACATATCTACTATATAAAAGATTCACATCTTATGTGATCGTCTTCGGTGACCCGCCATAATTCTGTCTAGACATGGCGATCATTAAACCATGTATCTCGTTTACATCAGCGCCGATTATGACATATATATGTGATATTTTCGATTTAATGGGATTCATTTTCTTACACAAGCAGTTTATATCAATAAAAGCGAGAGAACCTTTGGCACATCTTCGTCACGCCGAAGACCCGGGTTCGATTCCCCACATGGGCACAATGTGTTAAGCCCATTTCTGGTGTCCCCCGCCGTGATATTGCTGGAATATTGCTAAAAGCGGCGTAAAACCAAACTCAGTCAGTCAGTTTGGCACAACTATACGAAATCTCTTGTATAAGCACAGTCGATTATACAATTCCGACAATATCATTAGCATATCTTTATGAATCAGTGTCAAATAGTTATGATTCCAGGAGTTCGCGAAAAGGTAAACGTATCCTGTCCAACCAAAGCACCTGTCATAAACAAAAAAGCTTGTCAATTGTCCACCTTAAAAACGGGAATGGTATAACCCAAAATAATTAGTTGCAAGTAAGGCTTTTGATAAAGAGAGCATGGTAAATTGTACCTTGGAAACAGGCTTGAGCTGTTGAGGGTGAAGTCATCCAGCTTGTAACGTAGACTTGTGGAACGGAGTCAATATGCAGAGAACTAAATGTGAAAGACATGAACCTATTTCAATAGTCGCCTTTAATTCTATTCCGATTGGGTAAATACGTGGAAGGGAACTGATTGTTATTTAACGGTAACAGATACACGAGAAACTAATTATAATAAATTAAATTTCTTGATTAACTTCACCAGTGAAGATCCAGGTTAGCAACATATGCTTGTCGCAAGTGGTGGCTAAAAGGATCGGGTGTAACATATGTTATATTTGGGATTACACTTTCTAAGTAAAGTACAGATTCTAGTGCTTTTGTTGCGTTGAGTCCCATCCGGGATTCGAACCCACACCCTCAGAGTCAGGCACCTAATCGCCAGCACATAGGATCGGGTAGGATCGAAAAGTCAGGCTCGCTGACTTGGTGGACACATTGTCATCATATTGATGATGAAGCTTTATATTTGAACAAAGTATACTTTTTGTTTCTTACTGAAACTGACTTCTGCACTGAAATCAGGTTCATTTCACCAGGAAGTAAAGTTAAGGTCCACTTTATCTATCAATTATGGATCATTTAACTGGAATGCGCTAGAGTTTCATTTATTTTCACTGCCTGCGTTGCCAATGGCTAGGGAAAGACTTGTTAAATCGTTTTATCAATGCAGTGGCATGTAACAATGCTTTCATTTCAGTAATGAAGGTACCAAAACATTATATACACTTGCACGCAGTGACTCACTAAATGTCGTTTAAATATATATCAGGCAATGTCTATTATGTGCGAAGCACCGACTCTAAAAGATGGTTTCTGATTTGTAAAACGGTGTATTATACCAGGGGATACAGGAATCCTTCAGGAAATTACGTGATGTCAAAACTGAGAAAATGGATTGTGTTTGGGTTAATGGAGACTGCTGGTGGGAAGCCAATAGAATGTCCGAGTCAAAGGCACGTCGAGAGCCACAGACAAGTCTATTCAATAAACAAGAAATGTTCCATTCCCATGTTGATAACCGGATTTCTGTACATACATAAGTGATCTTTTTACCCCAGATAAAATGATGCAATTACGTTTTGTGTAATTCCTTTCTTCTTTCATCCAACAAAGAAGAAAAAGAACTTCGTGACCTGCTGCTATGTCAGATGGGACTCGTGTACTGGACGTACTTAAGTGGTTTCAGTTATACGGGGTTATCCATCTATACAGGCATTTATATGGATGCTGAGTATTCTCAGAACCTGGCTTTCAGACAATGAACCATTCTAACCTCATCGAAGGCGAATATCGCAGTCACTGGCAATGCTCATAGTCATTGGCAAGGTTCGCAAAACATAACTTTTTATAGGGTTCTCTGTAATGTAGGTACAAATAAGAGTTACATTATTTACATTCATTCACTAGACACGGGAGTAGTTGGTTCAAAAATAAATATGCTTCAGATCATTATAATGATGTAGAAGAGTAAAGGTCTTATGGCCCAGAAAGAGCGGAAACAACAGTTATTGTTACAAACTACATATGACTATGATTTTATTATTCGATTAAGAAGACTTGTTACAAGTCTTTAAGGGAAACAAAGACAGGTGATGAGGGGTAATTATATTCATGAACCCTATGGTTCAATACTGGAACATACTGGCCAATTACTCAACAAATAAAGTACATTCATCAATTGAATACGTCGAACATTTTCCGATATTCAAAAGAAAACCGCGTTCCTCTGCTCTATAACTTTTATCTGACAATTTCAATCATTTTCTCCAACACGGAAGCATTCGATTCCATACCTAGTGTAAAAGTCGTGACACAACAATGAAAATATGTCTTCGTTCCCCTGTTGTCTTTCACCAAATGCAATAAAATATCACGTCTGAGCAGTTATGGAAGAAAAGCCCCAATAATCTGAAAGCAGTTCTATCCCACCAATTAGCATCATAACGATTGTATTTTTTTAGATGAAGCAATCTTTTTTCAGGCAAACAGTCAAACAATGGCCATCCATCTTAAGTGAAGCCATACAACACAAGCCCACTTCCATTCGAACAAATACCTTAAAGTCCCGTTGGAAACACGCAAACATACTGTGCCCATACAAATGCAAAAAATAGACATTCATTCGACATAATGGCATATTGTTACCGAAAATATGGCCATCTACGTGAGAATTTCTTTAAACTGTTTTTAATATCTGATTGCAATGTCTGCTATAATATCGTTCAAAATGGTAAGGGTTCTCTGTTCTTGAGGGGTGGTGGTGTAGCCTAGTGATTAAAGCGTTCGCTCGTCACGTCACAGTCCAATGTTCGATCCCCCACATGGTTCAATGTGTGAAGCCCATTTCTGGTGTCCCCGCCGTGATATTGCTGGAATATTGCTATAAGCGGCGTAAAAATAAACTCACTCACTCTGTCCTTGAGTTGGAATCCAAGATTCCACCGCGGATGGTTTGTCAACACTCTCCCAAACCACATTTGTTCCAGTATGCTTTCTGGTGAACAACTGACCTGCGACAGGTTCTACCGATAGAGGAGAATACACTCACTTTTCCTTGAACACCTTGTATCATGACTTGGTGAATCTCTCTGAATAGTTATGTGCAAAAGACAAGGTACTCTCGCTATCTTACCTTATTTCTGTGGTGGCTATTGAACGATATGAAACCATCGATATGTCTAAAGCTCAAAATTACACTTCTTGGCCACAAAATTTTTCACTAACTCACTCAAGGACATATTTGGACAAAAGGTCTCCCTTTTAACAGTTTCTTCGTGGCGAGAATAGACATAAACCCTCCCTCACGGACGTAGAGAAGCAATATTTATTCTTCAGTTAATTGAATAAGATGAAAAGTATTTGGCCTTTTGGAAGGTGTTGGGTCAATTATTTTTATCGATTTTAAACAAGTTATTCAATCCATGTGAAATACATAGCTTTAATGTTTGTTTTAATATCAACTTTTTCCGAAGATGTGAGTCTGCTTTGCAGTGTCGCGGATATTATCAATCCAAGGAGAATTGAGAATAAAAGCAGTTGATCGGTGTAATAATAGCCTTACTTTGTGATGTGGCTTCTCAGTGTCCTGACGTTGATCTTGGGCGCATCTCTCGGCCACATCCAACATTTGTTTTAACGCTCTCATATATTTATCCTGGCCATGCCCGTGTCGAATCTAGTCATTGTTGGTTCCTTACGTGGTTGTGTCATCATTTTATAGGATATTGGTGGTCAGAATAAATATCCAACTGAATTGGAGCTTTCAAGGATAACGAATGTATAGTGCTCTGGAATAATCATTTTGCTTTTGTGAAATGAATTTTGATTGTTATGTTCATTGAGAAATGCTCTTTGAAATGTTGATAAAATGAGCAAACTTAATTGTACCATAAAATTTGGGAACACCAAAGCTTGGAGCTGTTGGAATATTGTTTGACATGATGTGATAAAGAGGTTGTCATCCATTAAGCATTTGACCTTTATTGTTACATTACCTTGTTCTGATTTTGCAGACCCAAGCAAAACTTCTGACTCCTATCCATAAAGAAACAGATCCGCTATTGCGGAGCACAAGTAAAGCACATGAGGATTCCAATCTTTGGTCTGAATGTTTTATCCCCAAATTTCAGATCCAGCATTTAGCAAGATGTCTCAGAAAACCAGACTGGCATTTGCTTTCATTTTTGACATTGACATGAACCACTACTGGTGTAAC